TTTTTAAATATTTTATTTTTCGCTAATATTTTATAAAAATATGGTTAATTCTACAACAAAACCCCCAAAATTCAAAGTTCCAAACCTTGTGCAAAATTAACGAAAATTCTGCGAGTTTTCATGAAAATATTACACTTTTTATTTACGCTCCCTAGAAAAAAGCTGAGTATGCAGTTTTTTAGCCCATTCAATTTTAGTATAATAAAGTGCCAGTATGAGGAAGCTAGGACTTACCATTGATTTTTGGGGAATTGTTTTGTTGTGAATCAATGATAAGTCCCAGCTACCTCAAACTTGCACTTTGTTATACTAAAATTGAATGGGCTAAAAAACTGCATACTCAACTTTTTTCTAGAGAGCGTAAATAAAAAGTGCAATATTTGAATGAAATTTTGCAAAATTTTCTTTAATTTTTCACAAGGTTTGGACCTCTAATTTTTTGGTTTTTTGTTGTAGAATTAACCATATTTTTATAAAAAATTATCGAAAAATAAAATACTAAAAAGATAGTTGCCCGTATTGTAAAAAATTCGCTGTACCTAAACTTTATTGACTGACTGTATATTACTTTGCGCTTAAAAAACATTTTGTTTACTTTGAACAGTTTATTTTTATTTTTGGAAATTTTTTCGTTTGAACACGATTTCGTTGTGCACTTCACAGGCGCTTTTTCGTAATTGAATAACTCAGCCAGAGGGGAGACCAGTATATTTGCTTATATGTATTTAAAAAAAAATATATATTTATTGGTTCAAAAATAGTGTGCAGGCACTGTGGCCAATGGTAAAGTTCGTTTACCACCTCTGCATGGTTGTAAGCCATGACAAAATTACAGAATGCTGTTGCTTGAAATTTTATTATTGGGCTGAACTGATTCTTGATGAAAATATTCTAGACAACACGCTCTGTGATCGATCAAACAAACTTATGTTTATGTTTATTTAAAAAATACTTTTTCTGTTAAAAAATTTCGAATTGTTAACATGGAAAAACAAAGAATGACGCTGATTGAGAAAACAATGTTACTTTTTTCTTAGTGTACATTATTTGTGTATAGTAGCGAGTTTTCTGAGTGTAATAAAAAATGTGTCATTCCATTTAAATTTTTACTCATTACTTTTCGATAGAAATTTTCTTCTGTGAAACGACGGATACGGCGATAATTTAGCCGTTGTAGAAAAACTGTACGATTTTCCGTTGTCTAAATGATTCCGAATTCTGCTTTCGTTATCAAAATGTTAGCTATGCATAAACATGTTTGTATGTATATGTATGTATTTATAGTATTTGTATCATGTACCTAGTATATGTATGTATGTACGCACATTAAACTAATTTTAAGATTAGTTTTTAAAAAATCAAAGCTTACTTGGATGTAGTTATGTATGTATGTTTGTGAACATATATATGTATTTGTATTAACTATACATGTTCCAAGCAAATAAGTACAGACAAATGGCACATTTTTGCCTAAATGTCACCAGACAAAGGCACCCTGTATATGTATGTATGTATACGCAAGATCTACAATACTGTAATATGTTTAGGGTTTTTACTCTTTATCTGGCAAATTAAGTACATTTATATGTACATATGTATATTCGATAGGTAAGAGATTTTTACCAAATTATAGGCCAAACTAAAATCTACTTGATACGTGGAACAGACTGCAACAAAAGGAATTAAAAAAGTTGTGTGTGGATCCCATGCGCTGCTGAAGTGAAACACCTACTAGTAGTACTAGTAAATCCGCGCGGCATTTAAACGGCAAAGTTGAATTAGATTTTTAAAAGTTGGCAACCCCGTTGAAAACCCTAAAAAAATATTCCAATTCAATTAATTGGTGAATAAAGTTGAACTTGATTTTTTTTATATATGTAGAAGCACTCCTAAATAAAGTTTAGAAATAAAGCCTCTCAAAACCCATTTATTTAATTATTCATTTAACTTACGAAATAATTTGAATTTAACTTTTTACCTTAAAATGCCTTGAAAATATTCTTCGTTGGATACGCACACTTTAATATGTACCTACTTCATAATTTATTTAAATTCTCAAACAGGTGGAAACCCTCTTCAAAATATTTTCAAACCAAAACCTTAAACCGCTTTCGTCTACGGATGTCTGATACATATTTCAATTACATTACATAGTTGCCGAAACTCAAGTTGAATTTGATTTATGATTTGCAATACTTTTTCCTGTTAATGGTAATTTGACTAACGCTTATAACGGGTGTACATACGGTGACCAGATTTCCGAAATCCTGCCGAAAATCTGGACATTTTTTAGAATAAAAATGCTTAATACAGTTTTATTTAAAACAAAACAAAGAGAAAGAAAAATTTTAAAATGTTTATTGTTTTTTTTTATGAAAATATAACTTACTATCTAAAAACATGTAAATCAAAATTTAAAAATTTGTAGACAATTCATAAACATTCGACGAATTTGAATAAATGTTCATCACAATTTGAAACATTTTAATCAGATTTTCTAGAATTGTTTTGAGTATGCTATATTTTGAAGCCCATTAAAATTTAATATAATAAAGTGCAAGTTGGAAGGAGCTTGGTCTTACCGTTGATTTTTCGCAATTTTTTGTTTGCGCATTTTCTTCCTAACACAGTATGTTCAAAAAATTTTTTGTATGGAGAAAATGAGCAACACCTTCCACAAAATTTACCAAATATCAACCGTAAGTCCTAGCTACATAAAATTTGCACTTTGAATTCACAAAACTGCATACTTAGAATGTTTCTAAGAAATCTAATTTCAAAGCTCAAAATTTTGATGAAACTTTGTCGAATTTTACTAATTTTTGTACAAAGTTAAAAATTGTGACTTACGTGGTGTTTGTTAGATAACGAGCCTCACATTCATAAAAAGGAATAACCATTAAACAATCGAAAGGGGAATAAATATCCAAACAAAGGTAAAATGTCTCTTCCCTATTTATATTTTTGCCACTCTATCTACAGCTTATGTTTCTCGTATCGACGATTTTTTTGAGGGTATTGGTTTTATTTTTAATAATTTCATTAATTATATTTATATATTATTTATAAGGATGCTAGCTATGTTTATGGCTCACTTATATTTATTCTATGTCCTTTGTGGTGACGAAAGTGCTGCCTCGTTTGTGCGAAAATTGGTTTTTGAGCCAGAGTACAGGGAGAATCTCATAAATGAATAAACAAAACACTGAAAATCTGGACTTAATCGGTACAAATTTGAAAACTCGGGGCACTTATACGTCCCGACTTTAAAAAAAAAATATTCAGCGGGACAATTTTCTCCAAATCGGTACTGTCCCGCCAATATCGACACGAATGGTCACCGTAGGAATACATAACTTTATTGCTTTTTGCATGTGCTGCGACCTTTCAGGCAAAGTAGTGCTGTTTCTATCCCCAGGACTGTATGTACATAAAAGTATGAGAGTCAGTGGTAACATCCACTAAGTATCTACATTCATACATACATACATATGTATTTGTATACTGAGCTTGCTGATACCCCCGAAGATCGAGCAATCATTTCTCTCGCTACGCACAGATAAGCAGAAGATCTATTAGATTAATGAACTTTGTAGTGTGAATTTCTTTTATAATTTTTTTGCGTACACGCTTCCAACATTAATTATTAACTTATGTATTAATAAACACTGCAATCAAAAAAGTTAACGCAGCTCTTGAACTACATCATTATGCCGAATTTCCACTAGGCATTGAAATGACAAAAAATTTATATCATTTAAAAAAATGCCATGTGGAAATGAACTTAATGATTATTTTTGAATGTAATGACACGATTATTTTTTAATGCCCGACTTTGTCATTCGTCATTTTTGCCATTTAATGCCTAGTGGAAATCCAGCATTAGAATTACATTATAAAAAAAAAAAATAAATCATACGTCGCAAATACATAAATTCATG